ATTTTAAACTTGAGAGATATATAAATCACTTATTGGGAAAGGGAAACCGTATCGTTAAAGCCGTATATATAAACTCTAACAAAGATTTCCTCAATAAATACTGTCTTATAATAGCTCCAGATAGTACATAGATGCAGTACACAAAATAATTAAAATTTATTTGCAGTATATCAGTTGACCAAAAATATCTAGAGGATGCCTTCATACCAGTGTCAGTAGAAGATAAGTAGAAATTCAGAAGTCATATATTAGATTCTCAAATATATATCAAAGAATGACTTGCCTTCAAATTCAAACACTTCTATGTGTCAGATAAAATAGTCCAGAACCCACAAATCATCACAGAAATAATCCGACTCCTTAGCAAACTCTAAAACTTCACAAAAAGCCAGCACTACAACAAGAAGAGACAACTTCCACCATCAGTCAATCCCAACAAAACAAGCAACAGGTACAACTAGCACAAGACTGGGCAGAGTTGAGCAGGGGGAAGTTCTTTCCCTCACAGCCGATGCAGTGAATTACTCCATTCCACAATTCCACTTCCTATCTCTTAATTTTCCTCCCCTAGCACCTTATGATCTTCTCTCTGCTCATTCTTTATTTTTCATTCACCATCTAATTTTTGTTTCACCATTTTGTTTTCTCAATTCATATTTCTAAGGTGCTGCCATTCCTCCATTGCAATGGATTTGTTCCTTCCCCTCATTCCCACTTTGCTTTACCAACATGAACTTTGGGTACATTCAACATCTATTTAAAAAAGTAAAATTCTCTAAGCAATGTCTAACAGGTCAAACAAGTCAATCTCCATGCTATTTGTTTATCCCTCTGCACTGATTTCAGACAGATGTATATAAAATCAGTGCAGTTAAAAATGTAGAGTTTCAATGTACTTCAGCTCAATACAGTTTAATAGTTGTTGTCAGAAACGGATAGATAGCTAAGTTGATAACATAGCCCTGACAACCAGCACTGGGTTTGGGACTACCGGTTACCCAGAGAGGTTATGAAGTCTCTTTCCCTGGAGATATTCAAAAGCCATCTGGACATAATCCTGGCTAATGTGCTTTTCCTGCCTGAGCAGGGAAGTTACACCAGATGACCTCTAGAGTTCCAACCTCAGACATTCCGTGATTCTGTGCATGGAATCTTCCAGCATCTGTCTTAGGTATTGCCTTCATGGGAAATTCTAACATACGTGCTCAAAGCTATGCATACAGGTGAGTATTTCCTGAGTCAAAGGCACAGTTATTAAACTGTGAGCAAACATTGTTCAAAAATAATGTAAAATTAATACAAACATATTACTGTCATTTTTTATTCAACAGTAAGGATATTATTTTGTAGTCTCCTATGCTGCAGCTGAGTTTTGGATTTAATGTCACTTCATTATTTGCTATTTTTGAAAATTGTTAAGAAAATCTGTCAATATAAATCATAATATATATATATGTGAAGTTTTGTCAAGTTTCTGGATAATTAATCTTCAGTGCAGGATATGATTTTGACTACAGAAAAAAAGTGCTTCTCTCATTGGATTTTCTTTGTTCTGACTTACGAAATGTTTTTTAAAAGCCTACAGAGAAACATGAAGCTATTGGAACAGATTTCTTTATTTCCACATCTCTCCAGTTCCTCAATATCATATCCTCTGCATATTTCATATTTCCTCCCCCTTGCTCAAGAATACAGTGAACTGATGCCTCTGCTCTGATTAAAGCAGTGTGTATTTCTTTCAAACATGAGTTAGTGCTACACAGAATGAAGGTGTATTTAGCTTCTAAGAAATACAACTTGTTTCTGCAATATTCATGGCATCCAGATCAATAAATCATTTAAATCCTAAGACTAAAACTTCCCTAGGTACAGAGGTCAAACTACAGTGGAACTAGGAAATATCAATTTCTCACAGATGTGCAATTAGAACATCTGTTAACTGTAGTCAAATCATAACTGTTGTATTTTTGCTTTTGTTCTAACATGAGGAACTTAGCATCCTATATTCAGCTTAAGCAGGGCAATTGGTCACTACCATATTTTTAATGAAGGGTATCGAGTCTGGCAAAATTTTGGATCTCAGGTGTGAGTTTGCTACATTTTCTACCCTAAACGCCATACAGAAGAGACATTAGTTCACCAAATCATCTTCTTTTTACATGTATATATCCAACGAGTTTCTGCTTTGTAGCTATAATGAGAAGCTGATAGGATTCTACACGGCTATTGATCTCAGGTGAGCCAACTGACCTGATGTCTCTTAGACTCCAATCTAGCAAATATGTTACCTGCGCATTCAGCTCCGAGATGGTGACTAGCATGCACCCTACCAGTGCTTGTATTATACAAAATGAATGAAAAGCGTTGTAAAGAAAACTCTGTTTTCTTTAGATTTCTTTTGATTAGAAGGAAGGAACACCAGTCTGAGTCCATAGTCATCTTCAAACCAGTGTTTACTTGTGACAGAAATTTGGCATGCTATTTAAGTTCCCTTTGTTTCAATTCTTCTGTCTATCTCTGCAAAATCAATTTAGATCCAGAGATGAGTACTGGTTTAAGTGCTAAACTCACTATTATTGCTCCTCTGGGGTTGGGGTGAAAGCTCTCTTTCTAAAGAGGGTTAGAATGCCAATTGGCACTGATTAAAGCTAAAAACATGCAAACAGCAAATCCATGTGTTGTTGTTGACAAATAGCCTCTTAAAAGGAGGCATGGTCTAACTGGCTTTGAACCAAAAACCATAATTGTCATTGGCATTCTTGCATTAAGAGAAGTGATATGCTGGCCTGAAGTGTCCAAGGCAGGAATAGTTGAAAGCATACTGGTCTTCCCACTTCTGGTACTATCATCCATTTCAGAAGATACCAGAGTGAAACACTGGTTCATGACAAAGAAAGTTTTTATGAAGCATCTTCTTCTTCACTTACTCTATTAAATGTAAGTATTACTTTTCAGCCAATTATTTCTCAAATGCATAATCATTAGAAATGTCAGTAAAATAATAACTGAAGGGTGCTTCCTGTTAAATTTGTTAATAACCACATCCTCTGCTAATAAACACCTAGGCCTTTGGCCTCAAGTTTATTTAGCCCAGGATACAGATATTATTACCTCATTAAGAAAAAACACCCTCAAGATATTATTTAAGTATCTCCAGAAGGAGAAACAACTGAATCAATGGGATGTTTTGGCCAGCTATTTAAAATTCACTAGGTGAATTTTAAAACATTCTGTAACAACCAAGGCAATTTCACAGGTAAATTTTAAAAAAATTAGATTTACATTACACAAATAATTATTTCTTACATTATAGCATTCAGTTGCCTTTGTGTTTACAGGAACAAGCTGAAGCCAGGAAGAAGAAAGATCTTCATTACATTTCCTGGGCACTGAGAATATATAAGTAGGCTGATAACTATTGGCTTTTCCATTGTCATGTCTTTTTTGCTATGCTGGAAAACGTTGCAGTTACTGAGCTTTGTTTTGCCCTTTCAGAAAAGGCTGTTTTTAAACGAAATGTGATGAAACTCTCTATAGAACTATCACTTCAAGTCACATGCTCAAACCTCAGTACACAGCTAAGGTTTTGCAGATCCAAATTTGGGATTTTAAGCATTATAATATTCTTTCAAATGGAAAACAAAAAAATACTGTATATCTTCAATTAGCACAGCACCATTTTATACATTTCTGAAGGTAGGCATACCATTTTGAAAAGCATATTTCTTTATATATTTTTCTTTTTTTTTAATTTTTGTTCCCTATGAAACAAGGCTCAATTCATAAAGAATTGCATATGCAGTGTATATCAATTCAAGATCAATTGAAGCCAGTTGCTTAAATTTAACATAGATGTATGTTCAAAAATATATCTGCAAATCCTTTAATAATGAAAACTGAGAGAGGCCTATTTCACTGCCTGCTGCTCTTGCTTAAATCAGTGAAACACAATATGGGAAGTCAAACTCACTGTCTCTAACAACATCCTCACTGGCAAACAGGTAAAGCGCAGCCCAGACAGACAGACACAGCTAGGTGGATGGAAACATGGCTGAGCTGCTGGGCTCAAAGGGATGCAGTCAGCAGTACAATATCCAGACAAAGAACAGTCACCAGCAAACATAAGATGACAAACTAATTTTGTTACAAATATTAAGTCTCAGGGTAATTCTGCACAATATTTGACTCATCCAAAAAATTCTTCAGTAGAATCAAAGAGACCGCACAGGACTCCTGACAATCATTCTACTTCTTATATGTCAGGGATGTACAGTGACTCCACAAAGGCTTCACTCAATGAGCAATAATAAGAGCCTAAAGTGAAACATCAATAGTGGCATTCATGCAATTATTCATACACTTACTGCCCGTCCATTTTTAACTCAGCTCACTCATAGCTCCCCAACCCGGTTACTCATCCCACTTCCTCATCAAGTATTGGAAAACAGTTAAATAACAAAATGGCAAGGATTCCTTTATGTCATAAGATTAACAGAATAATGGAAACTTTACCCTATTAAATAAATATATAAATTGGCAATTATTTTTATTACAGATAAGATTTGGATGATGCCAATAGCTCCAAATTTTTCTTTTTTTTTTTTTTTTTTTTTTAACATATTTTGTTTATGTTCAAGTATACAACATAAATTAAATATACAGCTGTCGTCTCGCTGTTAAAGACTGGCACATCATTGAAGATGGATTTCCTTGAAATCACAGAAGCTCCCAAGACATATAAAGCATGAAAACAGACCATTCAATAGAAATTACTCATCAACAGACTCATACAGTTTGCCTTTCTGATTTTAAATATAAGACTGAAACTATTTCACAAATGCTGAGATTTTGTTTTCCCTTTTCCTGCTTTTCTAATCAAGACTCTAGCACAAACTACCAAAAATCTCAGTAGAAGTGTATTATTTTATTTTTAACTTCTTCCTCATTATTGGACTTTCTTAAGGTTTTTGTTTTTTGTTTTTTTTTCAATGCAGGTGTCAATGGAAAGATGAATGGACTTAAATATAAGCTTTTGAGTTTAGGATCTCATAACGTTAACAATCTGAAAATCAGAAAATGAAGTTTGACTTCTAATTTTTTTTTTTTTTTACACTGACATATAAAAATACAACATTATAGCAGAGGTAAAACTCAAGGACATCTCTCGGATTTTGGAGAATGCAGCCATGTTGGAGACAAGACTGACCAGTAAGTAGAAGCTGCAAAGGGCAGCCAGGGAAAAATCAGAAAATAGAGCCCATTAATTTGAAACACCCAAGGGATCCAGGAAGGGACTGGTCACTGTGTCTGTGCAATCTGAGGAAGGACTAAGAGCTGATGACTGTACTGGCACACAAAAAGCCTCACTAAACTGGCCATTAAGAAGGTGGGGAATGACTGAGAATTTTCAGAGCTAGCCACAAAGAGCTGGTTTTGCAAAAGCAGAGGTTTCTGTGCTAGGACAGAAACTAACAACACTCTGACCTCTAAGCTCTTCCTGACTTACTCATCAGTGTTTATGGCATTAGAGACTTGACAGTGGCTTTCATAGACCACATCACCCTCTTATGAAATATTTTTCTCCAGAACTTCACAGCCAGGTGTTGTAAACAGTGATCGTGTCATCCACAGATAGAATATGAGTACAAGCAAGGAATATGTGGGAAAAGCCACTTTAGAAGAGGGGTTCTTCACAAATGGAAGTGGTGAACAGAGAATGGTGAACAGATTAAAAAATGTCATTTTAAGAAAAGTAGACAAACATGGTTTGGAAAATGTCAGTTCCCATCAAAATAGGGTTTTTTGTTTGTTGTTTTTTTTTTGCCACAGTACTTCCTTGTCAGCACCTGCCCTTCCTTCTCTGCCATCCTCAAAAAAGGACAACATTTTCAATTTGATTTCAATGCCTTAATTATGTAGTAATATAAATACAGTAACTAAAATTTTAAAAAAACTGATTTATTATTGAAAATGCAAGGTTTAGGGTGAATTACTCACATGATTAGCTTTCCTAGTGCAAAATGCTGAAACAAAGTACTATTTATATTAAAAAGGAGACCGTTTTTAGTGAGAAAGTCTTGTAGGAGTACATCCATATCATATCAGCTGTTATGAAATGATGTCAACGCTGTTATAAGATATTCATTCTTTTAAATAGGATTCATATGAACTCAGCAGTCAGTTACCATTTTAAAAAGACAATGTTTTTATTTTGTAAGGCCATGACTTTATTTTTAGCTCTTTATAATGTTCATTTACAGAGTACAATGACATTACCCAATGTGAATGTCAGCAAAGTCTCTCTAGGTGAAAATTACCCCTAAAAAGTGTCCAAGACCATGTCAGGCAAGATCACCTGCTTGTGAAAGCTGTTTTCTAGGATGTTCTAACACATCTTTTCTCTCCAACAGAGACAGGACTACCACAAGGGACATGCAGCACTGTGGATTACAATTGTTCTGTTTATTGCACTAGGTTGCTAAATTATTTAAAACTTGACAACTGTCCTGAAGATACTGCAGCATTTCTGCAGATTGTTTCAGTGTGAAACAGAATGCAGGGGATCTGCCTGCCTGTACGCTGGCATGCAGGATGATGTACATATATCAGTAACAGCTCAGAAATCAGCATTTTGATTATGTGAAGTACTTTCTGCCTTCATTTTCAGTTTCTAAACTTGTTATGACTCAACAGAATCATAACAAAGTTATGAAGTTGGACAAAGCAAAGGGAAACCAAAACATCTTCATTGACTGGCAGCCTTCTGCCAGATGTTACAATTGCAGGGTAACTTTGATGCAATTGCTCTGAGTTATCACATATTTTACGTATGTGCATATCCAAAAAAGATGGAAAGAGGCGTTACCTTAGGCTCTCAACAGGACAAGAGGTAATGGGCTTAAATTGCATGGGGGCTGAGGGAGACATGTCAGGTTGGATATTAGGAAAAATTTCTTCTCAGAAAGGGTGGTGATGCACTTGAAGAGGATGCCAAGAGAGTTGGTAGAGTCACTGCTCCAGGAGATGCTCAAGAAGCATGGAGGTATGGCACTGAGAGACACAGTTTAGTGGGCAATATTGGTGGCCGGTGGATGGTTGGACTAGATGATCTTGGAGGTCTTTTACAGCCTTAATGATCCTGTGATTCTTAAAATTATACAATTGATTGTTAATTTGGGTATAGGCTGTTCTGGAAGAAAAGAGATCAGAAAAGGAGCAAAAATAGCCCTTCAAAACTAGAAGAGAAAACCAGCTGAGCACCCTAAAACTCTGAACTTGGAATTCATAAGGCAGATGCAAGTGATCCCCAGAGGGCAAATGTAATCGTTGGGATTCTCAAAATTCCCTGCCTGTCTGCCACATCTTTCTCTTTGGGTCTTGCTTAGCTTTCTGCGTTTGAGCCAATCAGGAAGTTGGCAAAATAAAGATCATTCTGTAAGGGCCCCTTGTAAGGCCCCATCTGGAGTACTGTGTCCAGTCCTGGGGCCTCCAGCACAAGAAGGATGTGAAGCTGGTAGGATGGGTTCAAAAGAGGGCTACAAAGATGATCAGAGAAAAAAAAGTTGAGGGATTTTGGCTTGTTTAGCTTGGAGAAGAAAGTGTTCAGAGAAGACCTCATCACGGATTTCCAATACTTAAAGGGAGTTTACAAGCATTAGGGAGACAGACTTGTACAAAGTCAGAAGACAGGACAATGAGGAATGGCTTTAATCTAAAAGAAGGGAGATGGAGGTTAGATGTTAGGAAGAGATTTTTTACTCAGAGGGCAGTGAGGCACTGACACAGGCTGTCTGGAGTGGTTGTGGATGTCCCATTCCTGCAGACATTCAAAGCCAGGTTGAACAGGGCCCTGGGCAACCTGATCTGGTGGGCAGCAACCTGCCAACAGCAAGTGTTTTGAACAAGATGATCTTTAAGGTCCCTTCCAACCTAAGCCATCGGTGGATAAAACGAGCCACATCCTGTCCCTCCCTCTATACTTTTATCATGCTGAGACCTCCAGCTCCCAAAATGTGGTGCAAGTCACGGGAAGGGCTAGGGGAGTCAAACTCTCTGAAATTAGAATTTCAGATAGTGAGCTGATGCTTTCTTCCTCAAAAAATGCAAAATAACCCAACAATGCTTCCCATTAATTCCCCACATTCCCATGTTTTGAAGTCTCACAAAGAATGAGTTCTGTACTGCTGGCACCCCAGCAGGCTGAGCTTCCAGTTGGGCAGTGGGGCAGGAGCCAAGAGTGCAGAGCATCTCAGGGCACTGCTACCTGCGCTCCTTCCTGCTGAGCCTCTGCCAGCAGCCTCTGCCAGCACAGCAGAGCCATGGAGGAACTGAACAGCATGTTTGTAAGCTAAACAGGAAGGGAAGCATGCCAGACACTTACATCACCTGACAGATGTGCTTCTCAAGCATGCAAGTTTATTTAAGGCTTTTTCATGGTGTGTGCTGACCCAAAATCAATAAATAAATGAATAAATAAATAAAAGGGGGAGGGACGGGGGGAGAAAGGAAGGAAGGAAAGAAAGAGAGAGAGAATCGGTGTCATGCTCAACATGTTTTGCACCCTGTAAAAGGGAATTAAGTGACTGAAGCTCCCCGCCTCCCTCTTCTTTATGTCTGGAAGTGAGCCCTTCTGAAACACTATAGCTACTGGCTGCACAGCCACACATAATAACATGGTAGCAACACATAAACCTGTCAGTCTTGGATGGAAATAGATGGTTAGGCTGAGGGGGTAAACAGACTAAATCAATTTGAACATGCATGTTAAGGACTGTGAAAGGGCAGAGTTTAGTGCTGCTAGGCTGGAAAACATTTGTCTCTGTCTCGTTGTATTTCCCTGCCATTCAGCGGCATCCACCCACAGGCCTCTCGCTTGGCTCCAGTCAGGCTCCACGGCTGATTAATGGCAGCTGGAGGTGTCCAGTAATTTCCTCACCTTATAATAAACTACAACCCAAAACAGAGGTTCCCCTCAGGCCCACATTTAACATAGCTCTACTTACTACCAGGAGAAAGCCAATTATCATGTGTCTGCTCACGGCTTAAGTGAGCAGGTTTAAGTGGCTTTGAGAGGTTACTTAGCTGACTTTGGGCATATCATCTTTGTCTGTGGCAGAGTAAACAAGGCTCAGATAACATCTGCATCACTCTTGCAAAGGAATTGTACAAAAAGAAGAAAGCGGGAAGAAAGGGGGAAGAAAGGGGAGCATCCTCACAACTGGAATATAGCCCCCTTTAAAAAAATCTTAACAGCAATATGATCTTAAAAACAGAGTGATTTTTTTTCTCTAATTCAAATCCCAGGGTCACCAATGCACACAATTACAATTTCAGTGTCTGAGGCTTAAGCAATCAGTCTGGCTCACCACTTCCTACCCAAGGGTGCCCAATAAAGTGTTTTATATGAAGAGACATCCTTAACAAGAACTTTTCCAGATTTTGCTAGCAATTAAAGCAGAGCCTTGTTACTGAAGGAGTGGCATAGCTTTGTGCCTCAGTATTGAGTACAAAGGCAGTATTGTTTACATGGGCATCATTCTGACTACACAGTATTACCTCTATATTTGTAATGATAGCTCAACTATCTACTTGACTAATAGGATGGAGGCCTGGCTGTCAACAACTGATAGCAGTATTTAGAGCATGAGATAATCTATCACTCTAATAAATAAGAAAAGCTTAACATAAGAAAATGCAGTTAAAACCACAGAACTATTCTGTGTGCACCCAGCAGTGTCACTAAAATGGAACAAGGCATCAGCCAGCATAAGAAGAGTTTCTTTTACAGGCAGCTGATTGCAGTTTCTTTTCCCTGGGATACAATGGTGAAGTTGATGGAACTAATGAGTGGAAATTAGGTATTCTGTGGACAGAAGAGCTTGTAACTTCATGTGTGATACAGCACCATGTGCCGTGTGCGCATGTGTATAGCACCATATTTGATGTAAGGAAGAGTAATGCAACCGAACGCAGATTTCTACCTTTCATGTATATAAGTGAAAGAATATCAAGGTAGATGCACAAAGAATGCTGGAATAATGTTTGATTTGTAATGTGCAGCAAAAAGGTGAAATAAGTCTGAGTATACCACTGTTTCAGCACACGGGCTATAGCAAGCAATGCAGATGCCAACATTCTTGCAGTAGTACTTCCTTTCTATAGGGACAGGATATACACAATGCCAAAAAAAGGAATGGTGTTCCATATGGTTTGACAGGTCCTGTTAATACCTGCAGTTCTTAATCTCTGTCAAAATGTGAAAATGAAAAAAATGCTTCTGTTTATGTGCGCAAGTGTGCTTTTCTGCAGGAACAAATCCAATTAGCATGTGGACACTGAGGAAAGATTGTCAGACACAGAGCACTGCTGTCTGGTCACACAGGCAACTGCTGGCACTAGGGGATTAAAAGGTAACATAATGATTTCTTCAAAAGTATTACAACAGCTTGGGAGGAAACCCATTTTCCAGACATCTGTGCAAATGGATTTTCCATTCTCTTCAAAGGTATTTTCTGTTCCTCCTCTATCTTCCCTTCCTGAGGCACAGATCATCAGAAAAAAAAATTTAAAACAATGCTGGATGTTGCTGTTATGCAACATATCCCATATGTAAAAGGCATTTCTGCCACAGATGTCACTACATGCAACTTTTCAATAAGTTAGAAACTCAGTAAGTAAAAACAGGGAAGAAATGCATATACAAAAGGCAATATTTCAGGAACTGGTGTTTTCAGTTGTGTTAGAGAAGCCATTTTGTGGAAGGTACTGCTTCTAACCACTAAGTTACAAGCAAGAACAACTTCAAGCAATGCTTTCTAAAAGCAGGGAAGGAGGGAAGCTTGTCTTATCAAAAAGCTGCTCGTTTTGTTTTTAACTGTTGTTCTAAATGGTGAGGCTCAAGCACAGAGTTTATATCTCTTCTCAAAGAGGGCTTCCTACATAAAATCTCACATTACTTTTACGATCTCAAAAGTCTACATATGTGGCAGGTCAAGCCTACACATTAGCTATTACAGGACCACACTGGAAATTACACTTTCCTTAGCCACATAATTCTGTTTAAAATTATGAATGTCTTAAATTCAAGGCCACGTGAAATATCAACTCTTCCAAATACAGACACAGTACATAGCTTATTTTCTAGGTGAATTTAAGCTTCCTGACTGATGAAGAGTCTTTCTCCCATATTGGACTCCAGAAGGTAGGTATAGAAGCAGATTCCCAAATATTATATATAAATATATAAATATATAAATATATAACAGATTCCCAAATATTGTCTCAGAAGCATAGTAATTTTGCAAGCATTTGGCTCAAAAATAAGCAACCATGACAATTTAACATCACACAGTTAAGTAGCTTCCTAATATAAACTGCAATAGACACACTATGAGAAGTTGCAGAAAAGTCTCATCTCTAACTAGCAAATAAGTAGTATAATTAGCATGAACCATGTAAGAATTGAATCTGATAAGTATTCTGTCATCATCAATACAGACTATACTAGCTATTAGCACTTACTGTATTAGGTTTTGCATTAAAGAGAAATAAGTATTTTTTCCTCTGAATATTAATTATACATTTTACATATGGTATTAAACAAATGCTTTGCTTTTTCCGCATGGGAGAAATATTAATAAGTTCTGTACTTTTCTTTTAGTTTTATGCCAAATAAAAAACAATCTGTTCAGAAACTAGGCATAGCAGAAGCAAGCTCAGAGTGCACAATGCTGCCCAAGAGAAGGATATTTGTTGCTTTGCAGAAGTAAGCTTTCCCATGCCTTTTCTGTGTTCCCTGTCCCCATTGCTCAGTCAGCCAATGCACTCCTAAGTAATCATAGAATCAATCACAAAATCATCTAGGTTAGAAAGACCATTAAAATCACAGAGTCCAGCCGTGTACCTATGCCTGTGACCGCTCTAGATCAAGTCGCTCAGCATGATATCTACCCTTTTCTTGAACACCTCCAGAGATGGTGACTCCAAGCAAGCTGCTGTGCTGCACATCACATACCAATCCATAAAGGGTCAGTCAATGAGGCAAGAATTTCTTGGCAGTTGGCAGCCTTCTGGCCTGCCTTTTTCCTTGGGCCAAGAATAGGCTCTCCATTCCTCAGAAGAAACAACCAGAGAAAAAAAATGGAGATGCCTTAGTTTTCCACTGGAAGGAAACTATACATAAGCCTATTTCTTGTGTTACAGCTACAGAAGGAGGTGAGACCTCAATCCTCTAGTGTAGGTTACTGAAGTTCAGGGCATGTAGTGTTAGATACTATATTGCCATATCTACAGCCAAGTTGTAAAAGCTGTAAAAGAAGAGATGGGAATTTTTAAAATGTGGTTCACTTGACCTTGAAAACAGGTCAACACATTCACTTTATCACCAACTACCCTGTCCTATAGTCGAAGTTCCCACTTTTCTCCGTTGTCTCTGAAAGCAGCTGAGTATAAGTTCAAAGATTTAGAGATGTACACATGGTCATGTTGCTTCTTTTCCTTTTCAGCCAAACACACGGCCAACCAGGCCACCCCTCTCCTGGATTCCTACTTCACCATGCCTTATCTTTTTCGGCCATGACTGTACTTAGCTTATGAAAAACAGTTATCTTAATCCTCCTAATGTTGCTATTTCACCTTTGTGATAGTTGCACTGGTTCTGCTCTTAGGACTCTGATTAATTTCCTTTCCCAAGTGAGATGTCTGTATGTCAGAGCACGTTTGGTCCTTTTCACTCAGGAATTTTGTTGGGAAACACAGAATTTCTTTCTTCTGTCAATTTGTAGTAGCTATTATTATGGATTTGCTTTTTTTTTTTTCACAACACATGCTGATGAGACCTTTGAGGTGGGCTTTGTGGTCAGTATTAGTCAATCTACTTAAAAGAAGAAAAGTGGTAGAGAAAATGAGCTTTATAGAGGATATGGAACATTTCAACAGTCTACAGTGTGACAGAGAATGCACAAAATACAGCAGAGCTTATGTGCTGGGCCAAAGTAACTAGTGAATCCGAGATAATAACAGCAATATTTCTTGTTATCAGTGATATTCAGAAAAAATATTAGAAAGGTTCTGATTTTTTGTATAGATAGTTATATTTCAGTGAACACTTGTAACACCTTGGAGAAAAGGTATATGCTTTTTCAGAGAAAAATGAGCCATTTGATTATTTTTCTTTCAAGACGTATACCAGTAGAAGTATCCAGAAAAAAATGAAATAAAATAAAATAAACTTATGTTACTGAAGAAGAATGTTACTAAAACAAGGAAAAGACTAAAAGCAACTTTTGCTCACAAAGTTTCCAGTGATTTTTTTTACTGCCAGTATTATTTATATGTCTAAAATGCTCGCAAATGTAAAACTCAGCGCTAGAAGTTCTGACCTGTTAATCTTGCAGACACTAAGACAGCTCTGTAACAGTTAATCTCCACATAAAATTCAAGTCTGATTTATTTCCTCTCCAACTTCACCTTTTCCTGATTTCATAAAATATTTTGTACGTATGGCATTAGTGTCAGATCAGTACAGTACTGCGCTTAGCACAAAACACAGAGTTAATGACCGCCATCCATATTTATTAGGAGGGGCAAGAACTTCCAGTGATTTTCTAGACAACAAGAAGCTATCTTACATCACTCATCAGTGCATAAGTGAAGCCAAAGTTAAGCATGATCACATAGGCTATGCAAGTTCTCTCTATAAACAAGAAAAGCTTTATGGGTAGTTATATTTTCTCTTATGGTATGCTATGTTAGGAAAAGAAATCTTTCAGGCACAGAAGTACTTTTTAAGATCTTGTGAGGTTTTTCCCCCCAAATAAGTCTATCCTACTAATAAAATCTGCTTCTCCCTTCTAATCTTTCCTCTCTGATATCCTTTAAACATCCTAGCTATAACAACGTTACAATTTTCTATGTATCTTCTGGCTCCCCCTTCTCTATCAAATGAAATACGAGCTGCATGTCTCGCAAAAACTGGTTGTAAAGCTACCCCTGCATCCACATTCAAATCCCCTCTGAACCAACCATGAGGGACTGCTAAAAACATAAGCTGCTGATGTGCTGTGACAGCTGGTCTGCCTCTCCCTGTACTTCTGCTGCTGGTTACAAAAGGCCTGCAGAAACCGGTTTTTCATTATTCGTTTTACTGGTTTCGCATCTAATCCAACAGGCCTCTGGTTCATGACCCAGGTTCCTAAGCAATACCATTAAACAAATAATACTAATAAAGGTAGCCTGTATGGTGCCTGGGCAATCTCTGCACGGACTGCATCTTGTGTTATTTGGATTTTTATTTTTCTAAGGACAAAATTTTTCAGTTTGAAATGAAGTCTTCCCTCTGCATCACAAAACTGGATTTTTTGCAGAAGAAGGTGTTTGTGTAATCACAAATGACAATGACATGAAAATGCAGTTAATTTATATTTTGGGCACATAATTAACCTCACTTGTAGCACACTTCTTTCTTCTTCAGACTGCACATAGACATCAGCAAACAAAACTTATTGTCTCTCCACTTACAGCAGAAAAGTATATGCACCGTTCTGGAGATTTCCCCCAACAACGGAACCGTTTACTTCAGACTTCACCTAATGCCCACCAGTGTCAATCAGAATTCTCTATCAGCTTTAACACACATGAAATTCTCTGACAATTTTAATGGAATTATTGGGGAAGAGATTTTCAGGCTTAGAAAGACTCCTTAGTAAAGAGAGCTGGGAAAAGCTAATGTTTTGGCACTGTGTTGAATCTGCCTCAAAGATGGATGCAAGCCTACGTTCGTTAATTTTATGTACTGAAGCTCTGGCTTACAAGCCTGCCTTTGAACCCAGGAACCTTGCAAAGCTGGGCTGCACAGTTAAGGGGCTGAGCTCTTTACCGACCTCCCTAGCTCCTTCAAATATCTCCCAAAGCCATAATACTACTCCTTCTGTGCCAAGATTACATGTTCCCATACTAGGGAAGGGGCGAACAAAGTCCAAAAGAAAAGGGAAAGCTGGTCTCCTGTCAGAGCCTCGGCTTATCTCAGCAGCCCCCTATTTTTAACTCGATTGCAAACGATATCTGTGATCAAAGGGCCAGAACCCCTGGAGGAGCTTAGGCGAACAGCGTGGTGGCCACAATTCTTCCTGATGATTTGTAAGCAGGAAAGGACTTTTGACATGAAAGACAGCTTAAACAGCACAAGAATAGCAATAAACCAGCTGTAAAATGCTTAACATTGCCCTTGAACTAATGCAAATTGTTCCAAACAATTTTATTTTCTTTTTCTTTCTTCTCTTTTTTCTTTTTTTGTTTTTCTTTTTTTTTTTTTTTTTCCCTCTTTGCAGTCCCTTGGTGCCCTGCTGGGACATTTAAACAGTCACATGCTCACCATACAAAAGCCTATATAAGTGGGGAAATACAGTGTACTAATGTGTTTAGAATAAGGCAACCAAACAAGGGCTACAATTCAGATCTGCTGCCTTCCTTTCTTTTGTTCAAGGAAGTGTTCATTAATGACTAGCTTGTTTTGGATACTGACTGAGCTTCCAGACAGAAATGTTGAAGGGTAATTTGTTAGCTTAAAATATTCCATTAAGCAATTGAGGAGATAGTTAGCAAAGTAAGCAAAAACAGAATGTCCTTAAAGTAAATTAGTATGGTCACTGAATATTCTAGGTGCTTAGAAAGCAGGAATATTTACACTCAGAACTTCAGCAACAGTAAAGAAAGGTAGTAATATATGTTTATAGAAATCACATCTCAAGGGAGTGCTCTCTACTATAATAGCTCCCTATGGAAACTGCACTGCAAGAGTCTTACAGAATCCTTTAAATTCACCTTTAAAAGCATTTCTTTTTTCTCCTACTGTAGATGTTTTGTTTCAAGTAATAACACATATCCTTATCACTAGCAATTAGTTACAATCCTTTTAAAAACATCCAATATGGAATAAAATATTTATCTTGGTACAGTTAGAAACAGGAAGGACCAATGAGATCATTGCTTCAATTTCCCAAATCTGTTGAGTACTGTGAAGGCAGATATATCAGCTTTTACAAAAACATCAGTAATTAGAAGTTGTTTGGTGTGCATGTACGTATTTAATAAATTAAAATTCTCTGGTACGCCTGTTCTCTTGTATTTCTTTCTGACAAAGCTTGTTGCCTTAGAATACCTTTATCTTTCCTCAAAATCATTTTCATTCCTCATCATTGTTACTCATGCCACTGTGTCAAATATTCGTATTAAGAAATGAAAAAACATAATGAAAGAAATGGTATTTCAAAGAGCACTTAAGTACAGACTTAACTCAGATGGACGAAAGCAGAGTTTAACCAGACATTTGAACTCAAACAATGTTAATCTTCAATTTCTCTACTTTTTTATAAATTCAGTTCACTTCAGAACAGCATGGTAACACTACCATTCAAATTCAGTAGATGAGGAGTATAAAGAGAGCTGTGCATCCATGGTCATAAATACAAGAGGTTTGTGACCTGCCTAGGACACAACCTTGGGAATTCACATCCCAGTGTATCAAAACATATTTCTTGTGATTTCATCTCCTCAGATTTCTCTTATGATGGTAGGACATGCACTTTTACTCATTCTGTGCTGAGGATAAGACCGCTTTATGTCTTATTTATGACAGTGCTGTAACCACTCCTTGTCTTATGCTAAGCACTTGGATCTTAGAGTTGTTTTAACTAGCATTCTTTGAGCTCCCAAATGCAACCACAAAGTAAAGCATTTAAAATGTTTCTGACTCTCAAATATGATGTCAAAGAAATATAGTTGATTGACATTTTAAATTAAGACTTGGAGTCGATTTGCTTTAATTGTAATCATCTTCCACTCAGTAAAATTATTCTATTGTTCAATTTAATGTAAAATTTCAGCGACTTAAAAAAAAAAACTTCAAGCATTTTACTGACTTCTGTTCTTACTTTGTTTCACTTGATTTGTTTTTTTGTTTGTTTGTTTGGTTTGGTTTTTTTAGTTTGGATACATTATGAAATAACTATTAAATTTGCAAAATTTTACTGCACGTTTCCCAACTAACAGAGAAAGTAACTGCCCAACTTTGTTTCTGTTTTTCTTAACACTAATTTTTTCAAGTGTTAGAGGTTAATAACACTTATTTCATCCATTGCTGGGATCTAATAAAAGCAGTGGGGCATAACATTCTGTAAAACTGAGCAATAGAGGAAATAACGCTAATGTTAACCTCTAACATAAATGTAGTGGTAATTACTTTGGTCTACTTTTAAAATTAATGTCTTTTGCAGTCCCTCAAGTGGCATGGTAAAAAATTCCTCTTTGTGTTCTAGGCAGCCACCAATTTCCCAGATCAAGAGCAATCTATGCTACCCATTTCTGCTTCTCACATACCCTTTTTAAGCCACACTTCACAGTAATAGACAAAGATGTCACACAAAGAGTAAGCACACTACTACAGACATAAAAGGGGCAAACAGTGATAGCTACCTTAAATGCACGTATCTAAGATGCAGTTGGCAGCTTCCTGCCAACACATTTTCCCTACTTTTCCTCTGTCTGAGATTTAAACAAAAATATATTCCAAACTGATTCATAGTGAAATAACTGAGAAGATATCTCCTCATGCCTGCTTGGATATATGGAGTTTTTATTAGTTAAGTATAAATGCAATTTTATTTTTAAATAAACTTCTAAAAATTCTCTTGCATGATTTTTGAAATAATCTGAGAAATGTGTGCAAATATTCTTTGTCACCTAATAGCCTCCACTGATATGAAGACACAGCCCAGCCTTTGTGTGTTGATATCATATGTCAAAAATAGAATTTTACTTATATTCACAAATATATTCTTGGGATTTACCTCAATTTCCAAAGCTCTTCAAGCTTGATAGGAAAGGCCATGACTTCTCCATAGACTTCTATGTAGAGGTCTAAGCCATTACACACTACTGTTTACCCTATGTTTAGGAGCTCAGCAAATTACTGTACCACAGTAGTACATGTGTACTGTACTACTACTACTGTACACAGGACTAAGCTAGAACAACATATTCAACTTGAAATATACTATCATTAGTCCAATGCCAAACCTTCTTCTCTGGTTTTAAGAGCATAAGATACAGACACTACTATATTTTTTTTCTATTATACAATGTAATAATTGTACTGCAGACCACAGCAAGAACCTCACCAACAAAGCAGAATGTCACTACACACTAAGATCCTGTTGTTGGTCTTACTCTATATTCTGCTAAAGCAAAACAAACCAAACTTGAATCCAAAAGAATATATATATTCATTAAAAAAGTGAAGTTTCCTCTCACTCTGCTTAGAACTGCAAGCACAGAACTAGTCACACATTTCATTTTTTTCCCAACAAAAATGTAGATAAGAATATATTTCAAAGGTTTAGAAAACCTCACAAAGGAAAGAAAAATTTTATTTGCATTCTGTCCAACTTTGTTACAGATGCACAGCATCACAGGGAGATGAAGCTACAGGACAGAATACTGGAGGGAGGTTCATATAAATTTACATTTGTGGGGAGTATTTTCAGGGTAACAGCAGTTATTTTGTTTAATTCTCACACTTGCCAAGGAGCACCCAAGGAATGAAACACTTGGATACAACTAGACAAAGGAGTATCTAGTTTAACGAATATTCATCAAAATACATTTCAAATGAGTAAAGTACCTGTGGATGCATGCACATACATACATAAATGCATGGAAAGCAGATAGAGATATATAGGCAGTTATACCTCAGAGATACCCTCACAGCTTATTTTCAGAGAGTGATTATATGAGGAGAGCACAGACCAACTTGGTTGCAATTACAGTGTTGTAGCTTGCTGGGGCTCACCTAGAATTCTGGACCACTGCTCTAAAGAAATGTTCTTATCCCTCTCACAGGCTTTGAATTATTCAGTAATGCTCCAAATCAGTTATATATATATATAAAAAGTGAAATGCTATGTCAGCATATTGCAATTCAACAGAGTAATTGCTGTACTTCATTCAAAGTTCCTCTTACTGTGTGCTAGGACCATGAGATGCTCAAGAGTTCTGAACAGTGCTGAAGGAAAACTACTTCCTGGAAACTAGCATCACGTTATGAACAAGGTATGAACAAGTAGAGCAGACAGAAAAAGTTTAGTGCAGGGTGATGGCGATTATAAGCACATTGGTAAGTAATATTTTCATTCAAGCAAATTAAATGAAAAGCATATAATGATGGGAGAAGAAGAAAACCTCTGCAGAAAAATCAAAACATGGAATAGAAAAGAAAGGAGATTTTGATACATTCACCTAACTTCTCTGAGTAAGCTTGAATATACAGCATAAAGTCAAAGTAGAAAACCCTGCATATCCATCTAACCACAACAAGCTACCTGGTACAGACGGAGACTGGGACTGTTTGTTGTGCTGCCACACTAATACTCTTCAGACGCATTACATTCACTGAATTCTTTTCTAATAAGGCAAGACAGGCCAGTTCTTTTCTCTTGACATTTATGAAGCCTGCAAAGTGGAAACAATCAGTACTTTGTCAACACTTGACATTTAGTCTGACCTTTTTTTCATAATTATATTAGAAGGCTAGACTAGACCCCAGAACACTTGGAAACCAGCTGGATTTATAAACAGACAAGTATACGTAGGTCCACTATACTCAACTGAACCAGTTCAGAGTAAATTTAAACATTAGTAGAGATATTCACAAAAATTGAAGCACTGAAGAGTAGGGATTTTTTTTTGATCGAAATGGACACAAGGTCTTTGCACAAAATGTAGTTACAAGCTATCCTCACAGACTGACCTTTCTGTCTGACTTACAGTCTTAAAGGAAAGACAAAATCACTTAGGGAGGCTGATTATTATATGTTATTCATTCATGTATTTTACTTATTTCATAACTTTGTTGTATTTGGAGGTCTCCTGCAAAACATGCTCAAATGGAAATACACCCAATAGCTTCACTATATCCAGGAACTCATTACATCTGTCTGCAGAGGAGCAACTTCTCACATCTTCATTACTTTGTTATAAGACACATTTGAACACATCATGCAGATATCAACCCTCTCTAACTAACAGATTTTCACTGCATTCCAAAAGCAGAACAGTAGATCATCTCAGTCCTCTACAGCATTACTATTTACTTGGCCAATAGCTATGACTGTGGAATCATTGATTTCCAGCACTTGTCGATTAGGAGAGGTTTTCCCCTGCCCTATAAAAAAAGCGAAGCCTGAAATAAAGGAAGAGAAAGATGAGCTAGACTGGAAATATGGGTTTCTTTAAGCATAGGAAGAGCTATGCCACAAAGAAGTATTTTATCAAAAAAATCATTCTGATGCATGAGAAATAGTATTATTGCAGTCCAGAGGCTATGAAAGAAGGTATTCTGCTGTACCTGCTGTAAATAAGGCCCCTGCTTTAACTATGTCTGAAGTTTGGTGTACAAATATCCAATTCCCAAGTGAAGGAAAGAAAAAGAGCTGGGTTTTTTTTTCTTTTTTCTTTTTCTTTTTTTTTTTTCTTTCTGATTATTCTGAGTCTTTGACACTTTAACCTTTTGTTCTCTATGAATATGCCCTGGGTATCCCTATAGGCTCAGCTGAACCTGACTGAAAGCAGTTAAATCTTTCTTTCTACAGTGCTTTAAATGCTCTCCACTATGCCCAATGTCTACCTCACTCCCTCCTCCTGCTCTATCATGAAGAGACAGACACCAGTTCTTTCCATTGGTGTGAGCTGGAATCTGATGAATATATTAAAAATGCAAAGAGTTTATTTCATGACTAGTTTCTATGAGATCCACTGCATACATAAAGCAATGTGGGCCAGTGAATGATCCAGAGACAAACATTGCCAGACAGCCATGATAATAATAAAAGCTTAGATACCAGTATGAAATTGTTGGCCAGTACACAAACAAGACTGACTGGTTCCTCTAAGGAAGCCCTGTGTTCAAATGGAATCTCCAGCCAGCTTCTGGGGACAGATTACACATAAGTGACTTCAGAAAGTGTGAAAGAGAATAAAAAGAAAGGGAAATTCAGGATAAAGTACTTCAAAACACATCCTTTCAGAAGCCTAATTGCACTGAAAGTATTTGATCCTAAACATCAATTGTTCATCATATATTTGATATATCACTCAATTACAACTGCCCAAACTGAAGCTGGAAGGAGATACTCTAGCAAACTCTAGCTAAAAGATTGAAAAATAGGAGTGTAGGAAAGTTTAGAATACTTTTACTACCAATGTCCACCTTTTTCTTGCACTAAATATACATGGAAGCTTGAGGAAGAGTTTCTCAACCAGCATCCGACTTACATGCTGAGAATTAGGCCATAAAAATAGCCTGCTAATACTGCCTTTGAAGCTGTGATAAGCAGTATTGATTTGGCAGGACTTCTCTTATATCTGTGTCAACAACAGAAAATGCACCATGTTTCGTAACACATAAGCAGCAGAAGCCCTAAGCGTATACATAAGACTTCTCAGGCCTATAAACTCACTCCTTTTCCTTTTCTATTCACACTCTTTTCACTTGTTTTTTCTCCCCTGGCTATTACAATTTCCAGGTATTTCAGCCTCCCTTATGTCCGTCACATCCAGTGCATTCAAAATGTCATATGCTTCCTCCAAAATCACTTTCATTCACAATGTATTCAGAAAAGAGTTGAACAGTTACAGCAATGCCATTGCTATTGATTCAGTGCAATTTAGCTTTATTTTGTAAATAAACACCTATCTCCTATTCTGATAAGAGCTTCGCAAATAAATAAATACATTAGTATGTTAGGTTATGCACCAATACGCTTCAAAAACACAGTTCAGTGGGAGAAATTCATTCCTTTCCCAGTTGATGAATCACAGACACAGTAATTTACTTTCAAATGTAGTCTAAA